CGAAAATAACATAATCAAAATGAAAGCTAGAGGTCTCTCTAAGAACCGGAAACTCCACAACAATCCAAGGGATAAACAAGAAAGCTAAGCAGCATGGTGCAACGTAGTAAAGAGAAGTGATGGGATTCAACGTGATCCCTTTAGAAGTAAGCAAGATCTGAATCATTACCAATCTTGTCGCCTCGAACGCAACCGCACCTAGCTGAAGAACCACACCCCACACATCGAACCTAGCTTCTCCATAAGCAGCGATAGCTACACCAAATGAGATAGATAACATGTTCATCATAGTCTCCGACTTAAAACCTTCCTTCTTGAACAAGACACCGATGGAGTAGACCGCGACGGGCATGAGGGCTTTGAGCATTTGTATGAAGGAGACGGAGAGGTAAATGTATGCGGAGTTAGAGAGCCATAAGGAGAGTGAGTACAACGCGCCGATGGGAACCACGGATCTGAGGTAAGTGTCACGTGACATGGAGACAGGCTCGACGAAGTTGAAGACCTTGATGAGGAGGAACGCTAGGGTTGAGCAGAAGGACATGTGGATCATGGTGAGAGAGATAGGGAAAGGCCAGTCGTACATCTTCTTGTCGAGGATGTATTTGTTGTAGACGATGACGGTGAAGCTGAGGAAGATCCATATCGCTACGTAGGTGTAGGAGAGGACGATGTTCTTGATCACGCCTTCGCTTAGTGATCCGCCTTTACCCATTTCTTTTTTTCTTGAATATGATTTGTTTTTGTCCGGACAGTGGTTATTGCGACTGAGACAGCGGTTGTGGTGGAACAGCGAGTTTGTTTTGTGAGATCCTGAAATAACGTTTCCACTACGTAACGGAAGTGCTTCGCTAATTTGTTTTTTTTTTTCTTTAATGACGGATCAACAATATTCATATTCTCACTCATGTGATGTGATGTCACACTGAGATTCATTTTATAAAAATAAATATACTATATTTATAATTTATACTTTTAATAAAATATTATTTTTTAACAAAGTCTTTATAACATTTGTACAATATAGATTATATCTGTTTATATTCATTTATATATGCTACTAAAATTTTATATTGATTTTACAATTTTAGATTATAATTCAATTTAATAAGTCAATACTAATATATATATATATATATATATATATATATATATATATATATCTTATTATTATTTTATAAGTTATTTGAAATTATAAATACAATTTAATATATTTGAAACTAATTAGATGAAACAAACACATTTAAACCTAATCATTTACTAAACCTAGAGAAATGAGAACATCTAAGATCTCAAACATATTTTAATCTTCATAATATACCAGTGCATGATGCATCATGCATTAAAGTAAAAATTCTATTAATTTATCTTGAAATATCTGGATTAATCCATACGAAAAAATGAATTTTTTGATAAATACTATCTATACTGTTTAGCCTATTTAGTATTGTTTAAAAATACCTACACACACTCCAAATTTATAAATATGTATGCTAAACTTATTTTAATGGTTTATGAGCATCATTTCTAATTTTCTAATGAGTAATTTATTTAAACTTCATATACAAACTAATGAAAGAACTAATCCCTACAACAACTCTATTTTATGGAGAAACAAGAATACCTAAGGTTTCAACTATCTTTATTCTTCATACTATGTCAGTGCATTATACATCATTTCATTAAAACAAAATACAATATTTTTTTAATTTATCTTGAAATATGTGTGTTAACCTCTGTAAAAAGATCGAAGTTTCCGATAAATGTTATATATATGCCTCTTTAGATTTGTTTAAAAATACCTAACCACATTCAAAATTTATATTAATGTATTAAAATTATTTTCATGGTACATGGGAATCAGTCTTAATTTCAACCAATTAAATTTAAAAAACTCTATATACCACCAAATCAATGAACAAAACGCTAAGATCTATATTTTCTAGAGAAATATAGACAACTAAGGTATCAAAACTCTTTAATATTCATCCTATATCAGTGTTGGATGCATCTATGCATAATAAAAAATGATATATTTTCTAATTTATTTTGAGATTTATGGGTTAACTCCTACGAAAAAATCAAATTTTCTGATTTGAGTTAACCCCTACAGAAAGATCAAGTTTTTCGATAAATGTTATATGTAGGCCTCTTTAGATTTGTTTAAAAATACCTGACCGCATTCAAGATTTATATTGATGTATTAAACTTATGTTCATGGTATATGGGCATCAATCTTAATTTTCAACATGAATTTAAAAAAAAAATCATTATACCCCCAAAATCAATGAACTAAACCCTATAAAATCAATATCTTTTGAGAAATTTGGACAACTAAAGTATCAAAAATCTTTAATATTCATCTTATATCAGTTTTGGATGAATTTATGCATAAATATAAAATTCCATATTTTCTATTTTATTTTGAAATATATGGGTTAACCCCGTATGAAAAAATTGTTTTTTTGATAAATGCGATTTGTACTTAAGTTAAACCTCTTTAATGTTTAAAATATCGAACCACACTAAAAATGTATACTATTGTATTCTAAATTTATTTTCATGGTTCATGAGCATCAGTTAAGATTTTTCAATGAGTAATTTAGTAAACTTTCATATACCAAGTAAATCAAAGAACTAAACCCTATGAAATCTCTATATTTTAGAGAAATTGAGACAAAAAAATGTCAGAAATCCTTGACCTTCATCTTATATGTGTTGAATACATCTATGCATTAAAAGAAAAGTAGTGTATTTTATAATTTGTCTCGAAATCTATGAGTTAACCCCTACAAAAAGATCAAGTTTTCTGATAAATGCTATATACTGAATTTTAAGCTATTTCATGTTGATTAAAAATACCTAATCAAATTACAAATTTTTATTAATGTTCTAAACTTATTTTCATAATACATGGGCATCGTTTCTAATATTTTAATGAGTAATTTAATAAAACTTCATATTCCACCTAATTATGTGGAATAACCCCTATAAAATATGTAATTTTTATAGTAACATGAACAAATAAGGTCACAAATAAGGTCCAAGACCTCTTTAATTTTCATCACATGTCACTACATGATGAAATTTTTCATTAAAACAAACCACACTCTAAATATATATATTCATGTATGATAAACATATTTACATAGTACATGGGCATCATCTTTAATTTTACAACGAGTACTTTTAAAGAAATTTAAATATGTCCTAATTAGCTGACTAACATCTATAAAATCTTTATTTTCTAGAGAAACATGTACATCTAAGGTCTTAAGCCTCTTTAATCTTTATAATAAGTCATTGCATGATACAACTATGAATTAAAAAAATAACATATTTTTTCTATTTATCGTGAAATATGTGGGTTAACCCCTACAATTTTTTTAATATAAATTCTATTAATGATATTTAGCCTCTTCAGTGTGATTTAAAAATACCTAACAACACTCTAAATATATATATGCTAAACTTATTTTTATGGCACATGGGTATCATTTCTAATTTTTCAGTGAGTAATTTATTTAAACTTCATATAGCACCTAATAAATAGACTAACCCCTATAAAAACTCTTCTTTTTAGGAGAAACGGGAACACCTAACGTATCAAACCTCTTTAATCTCCATACTATGTTACTTCATGATGGAGATATGCATTAAAAATATCATACTTTCTAATTTATCTAGAAATATGTGGGTTAATCCCTAAAAAAAAAGATCGAGTTTTCCGATAAATGTTATATATACTAAAGTTTAACCTCTTTAGTTTTGTTTAAAAAATAACTAACCACATTCAAAATTGATATTAATGTACTAAACTTATGTTAATGGACATGAGCATTAATTCTAGGAGTTTAATAAAACATCATATACCACCAAATTCAGTGGACTAAACCCTACGAAATCTCTATTTTCTAGAGAAATTTGGACAACTAAGGTGTCACAACTTTTTATATTCATCATATATCAGTGTTGGATGCAACTATGCATAAATACAAAAATTTCATATTTTTTAATTTTTTTGAAATATGTGTATTAACCCGTATGAAAAGATCAAGGTTTTTCCAATAAACAATATTGTACTTAAGTTCAATCTCTTTAGTGTTGTTTAAAATATTTAAGCACATTAAAAATTTATAATAATTTATCTTAAGTTTATTTTAAAGTTACATGGGCATCAGTTATAATTTTCCAATGAGTAATTTAATAAAACTTCATATACCACGTAAATCAAAGAACTAAACTCTATGAAATTTCTATATTCTAGAGAAATTGGGACAACAAAGGTATTAGACATCCTTGATCGTCATCCTATATATTGTTTGGATGCATCTATGCATTAAAAGAAAAGTACTGTATTTTATAATTTATTTTGAAATATGTGGGTTAACCCCTATAAAAAGATCGAGTTTTCTGATAAATGATATTTATTGAATTTTAAACTCTTTCATGTTAATTATAAGTACCTAATCACATTATACATTTTTATTAATGTATGTTAAACTTATTTTCATGGTACATAGGTATCGTTTCTAATATTCTAATGAGTAATTTAATAAAACTTCATATTCTACCTAATTATGTGGCCTAACTCCTATCAAATCTGTAATTTCTATAGAAACGAGGATAAATAAGGTCCCAGACCTCTTTAGTTTTCATACATGTCAGTGCATCATAAAATTAAGCATTAAGACAAAATAACTTATTTTCTAATTTATCTTACAAAAAGATCAAGTTTTTTCCAATAAATGCTATATATACTAAAATTTAGCCTCGTTAATATTTTTTTTAATACCTAAGAATTAACAGGGTTTTCCAATAAATGCTATATATATACTTAAGTCTAGCCACTTTGGTGTTGTTTAAAAATACACAAATTATACTAAGAATTAACAGCTTCTGAAGAAGTATGTTTTGGTATAGCGTTCCATAAAAATTATAATGATTCATCATCAAATGCTACAATTACCAAAAAATACTATAGTTCATCCTTAATGGTTCATCATCAATATTTTAAATGGTTGAGAACCAAAAATTTCAAGGTTTCATTTTAATCAGTTACAACTATTCATCCAGAAAATTACAGTAGTTCATTTAAATAGTTACAAAAATTTACTCAAAATTCCAACAATCATTCTCTATTTAAGTGTAATTAGATATTTACTAAATAAATAATACTTATATCAAAATCATGCATAAATTTAAAAGTGCACATATATAAAAAAAAGTTCATGGCTTACATTTTGTTGGTGCTTATCTACTAATAAATAATATTGTCAAAATAGTTCAAATATTTGATTTGAAATGGTATAAAAACAAAACCGAATCAGAATTAAAAATATATCAAGTTTTTAAAATAATATTAAAACCATAAATTTAATATAATATTATAAATAATTAAACTACTCAACATACCAAATTACCTAAATATTTTAAGATAATTTTTAAGATTTTTCAAAATGCATACAAATTAGTTATGCAAAATAACTAAAAGACAATTCATTAAAAATATTCACAAGTTTTAGAATGAAATGATACACCTTAGACACTTTCACAACCTCTTCAAAATTTATGTAATTTTTATAATGAAAAAAACACCCTTTACATATTTTTACAATATCTTATAAACCAAAGCACTTCTAGGATGAAAAGACATATCATTAGTAAAATTCATCTTTAAATATTTTGATAATTTTTATTAAACTAATTCAATTC